AGAGAGAGAGAGAGAGAGAGAGAGAGAGAGAGAATGTACATACATATTTCATAGACATATATATGTATATTATAGATAGATAGGTAGTAGATATAGGCCTATATGTATAATTATAGTCCACTCTACCAACCCTTTTTAGCTCTCCTCTCGAAACCAAACCTTCCTAGAACCCTAGAATATATGAAATTGAGATTTAAAAAAGAAAAAAAAGAAACCCAAAAAGACATCAATCAGTTCGTCCCAAGGAATCCCTTCCGCAGAATTCCACGAGTCACAATTCAAAGCTCCCTTTTTTTTCTTTTTTTCTTTCTTTTTTTTTTCTTTTTTTTTTTTTTTTTATTTAATGGTTCGTAGCTGGTTGAACTCCGGGGGGTTCCTTCCCTCAGGATCCTGCCGGAGAGAAGCTTCCTTTGAGCCATTATACATTTTCCAGCGGTTGGTCTAGGAGGGAAGGGGGCAGGGGAGGGGAAGAGGAGGGAGGAAGGGGAGGAGGGTAAGAGAGGGAGAAGGGTAGAGGTAGGGGTAGAGGTGGTGGTAGAGAGAGGGAATAGGAGGAGGATTGGGAGGAGGAGGAGGAGGGTAGGAGGATGATGGGGAGGGGGGGGGGAGGAGGAAGAGGAGAGGAAGGAATAGGAGGAGGAGGAGGATGGAAGTGGGAATGATGTAAGAAGAAAAAAGGGGGAACAGAGAAGGAGGTAGGGAGAGAGGAGCAGAGGATTAAAAAATAGGAAGGTGGGTTGGGGGTCGCGAAGGAACGGGAAGGAGGAGGAGGAAGAGGAGAGGAAGGGGAGACAGGAAGGTGGGAGAATGGAATTGAAGAGGTCGAGGAGGACAAGAGAAGGAAATAAAGGACAGAAGTTTGGAGAGGAGGAGGTGGAGAGGCAAGAAGAAGGGAAGGGAGGAGAAAGAACATCAGTTGGAGAAAGAAGGAGGTAGAAGAAAGAGAAATAGGAGTAGGAGGAAGAGGAGGAGAGGAGGAGGAGCAGAAGTTGGGGGAGGAGGAAGAGAAAGAAGAATAGAGAGCAACAGGAGTAGGAGGAATGAAGGAGAAAGAACAGGAGTTGGGTGGAAGAGGAAGAGAAAGAAGAAGAAAGAGCAAAAGGGGGAATAGGAAGAAGGAAGGAGAAAGAACAGGAGTTGGGTGGAAGAGGAAGAGAAAGAAGAAGAAAGATCAAAAGGGGGAATAGGAAGAAGGAAGGAGAAAGAACAGGAGTTGGGTGGAAGATGAAGAGAAAGAAGAAGAAAGAGCAAAAGGGGGAATAGGAAGAATGAAGCAGAAAGAGCAGGAGCAGGGCGAGGGGGGGGGGGGGCTGTCCAGGTCACAACACGCCCATCCATTCTCTCCGACGTCGAGCATCTTCTGTGGCATTCCCGTTTCACTCGTCGTTTGGGGAGATTCTTATCACATATGATTTTTCATTCCCGGCTCTGGGCTGGGAATTATATACATATTTTTCGTTGTTTCTCCTCTTCTCGTTTTTTATTGTTTCTCCTCTTCTCTTTTTTTTATTGTTGTGTCTATTGTTTTCTTTTCGTGAAGGGGAAGAATGCTGTATGGCGATTCCTTTGCAAGTAGGCCTATGCAAAAGAATTCGACTTTATGTTTTATGATATACAGGCGATACGGGGTATAGGCCTATGCTATTTATTTTTTAGCATATCTGATTTTTAATGTTAAAAAATATGAATGGGAGTGTATAACTTGAGGAATCATTCATTCTCTTTTCTACCATTTTTTTTCTTCTTTCTTTTTGTATATCTGTCTTCGAGGTATTTCATCCACTCCCTTCCGCCCTTCATTCGAAATCTACCGCCCATTATTCGGAGTCTTCCACGCTTTCGAACACTTCCACCCCTTGGACTTCCTTTCAACACACACTCGCCATTGACACGCCGTTTCCCCATTATGTAAAAGCCTTGACCATTGCCAACTTCAGCCGAGGCTACTCTATGGCCGCTCTGTTATCACTCTTGCCTTTCCCAATCTGCTCCAAAACTCCCTCGCCTTTCCCCCAACCTCCCCTTATTCCCCAATCTCTCTCAACCTCCCTTCCCTCCCTCTCCCCCTCCCCTTCGCCACCTCCCTAACCCTTCCTCAACCTCCCCCTCCCCGTACTTCCCTCCCTCTTCTCCAATCTCCCTCCCCTTCCCCCTACCTCCCTCCCTCTCCCCCAGTCTCCCCCTACCTTCCATTACCTTCCTACCTCTCCCTTCCCCAACCTCCCTTCATCTCCCCCAATCTCCCTCAACCTTCCCCTACCTTCCTCCCCCCCCTACCTCCCAAACCCTCCCCTGCCTTCCTAACCCTTCCCCAACCTCCCTCCCTCTCCCCAACCTCTCCCTACCTACTCCCCTTCCCCCCCTCCCCCTACCTCCCTCCCTCTCCCCCCTCCCCTCCCCCCTCCCCCAACCTCTCTCCCATTCTCCTTTACTCCTTTTCTCGGTTTTGTTCGCCATCGTTCCTGCCTGGTCGACTGTATTGTGCTCTTTGTGTGCACAGGTTTCTCTCGAAGGAGGTTACACAGGTTACAAAAGTTGGTGAGAGATGGAGGAAGGGGGAGGGGGGAGGGGGGAGGGGGAGGGGGGAGGGGGCGATTGCAACGGGCGACGGCGTTGAGTTTGTTGGTGGTATTTTATTGGTATATTGGTGTTGCTATGATGGTGATGGTTATTGTTGTTGTCGTCGTTGTTGCTGTTTTTTGTTATTGATATTGATATTGGTATTATCATTAATGATCGTCATCGTAATTATGTTATTAGTTTTTGTGATATGGTAATGATTTTATTATTGATGTAATTATTGCATTGTATTGTTATTTTTATTTTTATTTTTATCATCATTCTCTCTCTCTCTCATCTCTCTCTCTCTCTCTCTCTCTCTCTCTCTCTCTCTCTCTCTCTCTCTCTCTCTCTCCTCTCTCTCTCTCTCTCTCTCTCTCAATCCTCCCTCCTCCCTCCCTCCCTCCCTCCTCCCTCCCTCCCTCCCTTCCTCTCTCTCCCTCTCTCCGATGATGAGAATAAGGATGCTAACAATGAATGGGATGAGAGACGGAAGAACAAAGTACAAAGGGGTAATAATTATGACTCCAACCCCCCTCCCCTCCCCCTCCCCCTCCCTTTCCTTGGCACCCCCCAAGACAAGCCAATTCACTAAAGAGTTCCCCCGCAGTGCCTTACCGAACCCTGCTCTCTCTCTCTTGCTCCTCCATGCCCCAACCTGTTCTAACCTACCTTGTCTCGGCCTGCTCTATCCTGCTCTACCCTGCTCTATCTTTTTCTGCTTCGCTCTGTCTCGGTATATCCTACTCTGTCATGCGCTTACATCTGCTATCCTGCTGTACTATGTGCTTAGTTTACCTACTATATTCTACCCTGCCCTACCGTGGTCTACCATATGCTAACCTTCCCTACCAGGTTCTGCCATATGCTAGCCTTCTTTACCGTGTTCTGCCATATGCTAACCTGCCCTACCAAGATCTACCATATGCTACCGGGTTCTACCATATGCTAGCTTGCCCTACCGTGTTCTACTATATTCTACGCTGCCCTACCATGTTCTACCGTACGCTACCCATGCCCTACTATGATCTGCCATATGCTAACCCGCCCTACCATGTACCACCATATCCTACCCTGCCCTACCATGTTCTACCATATGCTAACCCGCCCTACCATGTTCTGCCATATCCTACCCTGCCCTACCATGTTCTACCATACGCTAATCCGCCCTACCATGTTCTGTCATACGCTAACCTGCCCTACCATGTTCTACCATATGCTAACCCGCCCTACCATGTACCACCATATCCTACCCTGCCCTGCCATGTTCTACCATATGCTAACCCGCCCTGCCATGGCCATATCCTACCCTGCCCTACCATGTTCTGCCATATCCTACCCTGCCCTACCATGTTCTACCATATGCTAACCTGCCTCTCCTGTCCCCACCCTACTCTCCCCTACTCACGCCCACGGCCTTCCCTGCCCTGTCCCATCCCGGAGATCTTGAAAGTATTATCTGGTTTGGCCTCATTTGGTGTTGAAGTGGAGGATTTCGAGGTTTTGTGGGAAAGGGCGGTGAGGGAGGAAAGGAGGGGGAAGAAAAGGGAGGAGGAGGAGGAGGAGAGAAGAGGAAAAGGAGGAGGTGGAGATGGAGGAAGAGGAAAACGAGGGGTGGAGGAGGGGAGGAAAAGGGAGGAGGTTGGAGGAGAGAAGGAAAGGGAGGAGAGGAGGAAAAGAAGAGGAAAAGGGAGGAGGTGGAGGAGGAGGAAGAGGAAGAGGAAATGGGAGGAGGAGGAGAGAAGAGGAAAAGGGAGGGGGGGGAGGAGGAGGAAGAAAAGGAGGAGGTGGAGGAGAGAAGAGGAAAAGGGAGGAGGTGGAAATGGAGGAAGAGGAAAAGGGAGGAGGTGGAGGAGGAGGAAGAGGAAATGGAGGAAGAGGAGAGAAGAGGAAAAGGAGGAGGAGGAGGGAAGGAGTAAAGGGAGGAGGTGGAGGAGGAGAGAAGAGGAAAAGGGAGGAGGTGGAGGAGGAGAGCAAGAGGAAAAGGAGGAGGTGGAGGAAGAGAAGAGGATAAGGGAGGAGGTGGGTGGGGAGGTGAGGAGAGGAAGAGGAAAAGGGAGGAGGTGAGGAGAGAAGAGGAAAAGGAGAGGTGGAGGAGAGAAGAGGAAAAGGAGGAGGAGGAGGAGGGGGAAGAGGAAAAGGAGGAGGTGGAGGAGAGAAGAGGAAAAGGAGGAGGTGGAGGAGGAGGAAGAGAAAAGGGAGGAGGTGGAGAGAGAGAGGAAAAGGGAGGAGGTGGAGGAGGAGGAAGAGGAAAAGGGAGGAGTGGAAGAGAGGAGGGAGGAGGTGGAAAGGAGGAGAGGAAAATGGAGGAGGAGGAGGAGGGGGGGAAGAGGGAAAAGGGAGAGGTGGAGGAGAGAAGAGGAAAAGGAGAAGAGGAAAGAGGGGAGGAGGTGGAGGAGAGAAGAGGAAAGGAGGAGGAGGAGAGAAGAGGAAAGGGAGGAGAGGAGAGAAAGGAAAAAGGTGGAGGTGGAGGAAGAGAAAAAAGGTGGAGAAGAGGAGAGGACCAGTAGGGTTGGGGAATGGGGAGCTAAGGATGGGGAAGAGAGGAGGAAGAGGAGGGAGTTGTGGGGTAAAAGGAAGGAGAAAGGAAGAGGAGGAGAGGGAAGGCAGAGAATATAGGGAAGGAGGAGGTGGAGGGAGGAAGGGAATAGTAGTGTTGGGGAATAGGAGAATGGAGAAGGAGGGGCAGAGGGGAGGGAGAAAGGGGGTAGTGGGGGTAAAGTTTGAGGTTTTGGTAATTGTCTCTTGGCGATTGTGGAAAGAGAGGGAATGTGCTAAAGATTATGGAGAAGGTAAGGGTAATAAAATTCGTGGAGAGATAAGGCATGATAAAGGAAGTGGAGAGAGTAAGGTTGTAAAGCTAATGTGAGAGATGAAAGATTAAAGGGGAAGAGGAAGAGATGGGGATGATAGGGAAAGTGGAATAGATAAGGGGGAGGAGGTTAAGATAACGAAGGGAACCAAGATAGGCAGAGGAAATGGGGAGGAAGGGGGAGACTGAGAGAAAGCAGGGAAAGTGATAAGAGGGAAACGAGAAGAGGAGAGAGGAGGAAGGGAGGAGAGGTTGAAGGAGGAGGAGGAGGAAGGAAAATGAAGGAGGGGGAGGTAGAGGGAGAGGGGTGAGAGAGAGAGAGAGAGAGAGAGAGAGAGAGAGAGAAGAAGAGAGAGAGAGAGAGAGAGAGAGAGAGAGAGGCATGATCCTCAGTCTTTTCTCACTCAGAACCCTTGAAAAAAAAATGAATAAAAAACTAAAAAGAAAGTCACTCTAAATAACATTTTATGAGTTTAATATCCTGTCTGCAGCGACATGCGATGACAGAGGGCGCTGTAGCCGAGTCATAGTGTACAGAAGTTTTGAGGTCAACTTTGCATTTATACCCGATGACATGACCTCCAGCGACCCGATCAGCTGTAAACATTTTCCCCGAGTCATTCGCCAACGGAAACGTTTCGGAACGTTTTCTCTCTAGAAAGCTGGCGGTCGAGTACGTAACTGCGCTTCTTTATTTACTTCCGAAACGTGTTTTGTCATTTCGTAGTGTTTGTAAATTCGCGTGGGTTCGGTCTTATGCTGGCTGGGCTTTAGGGTCAGTTTTGCGTGCGGTTTGGTTCTCTTGGTGTGATACTTGCGGGCTTTACACTTTGCACTTCATATTTTACTATTCTTGATATCATATCCGCGGTGGGTTGGTTCTGTACTTCATCGTTCAGCTGTGGCGAATGATTTACTGTGTGTATAATTGGACAATAGATCTTTTTTTTTCGTTCTCTCTCTCTCTCCCTCTTTCTTTCTTTCTCGGTCTCTCTCTCTCCCTCTTTCTTTCTCTTTCTCTCTCTCCTCTCTCTCTCTCTCTCTCTCTCTCTCTCTCTCTCTCTCTCTCTCTCTCTCTCTCTCTCTCTCTCTCTCTCTCTCTCTCTCTCTCTCTCTCTCTCTCTCTCTCTCTCTCTCTCTCTCTCCCTCCCTCTCTCTCCCTCTCCCTCTCCCTCTTCCCTCTCCCACACACACACACACACACACACACACACACACACACACACCACACACACACACACACACACCACACACACACACACACACACACACACACACACACAGACGCCCCCCCCCCCACATCACACATTGAGACACCAGGACCATTAGTTCGCTCGAGGGAAGTGGCTGCAATGGGCGACGACAGATACCGTATCACGCGGTAACTCTCAGTGTACCGGTGTGCACAAGGCGTCTCCTGCAAGGCAATCTGCATTGTATATATTCTGCAATAGACCTGCATCTCGGTGTTACTGCCCTTTGCGAGAGGGAGAGGGTGAGGTGGGGGAGGTGGGGGAGAGGGAGGGGGAGAGTAGGGTGAGGGAGGGGGGGAGAGAGGGAGAGGAGGGGGAAGGGAGGAGGAGGGGATGAGGTGGGGGAGAGGAGAGGGAGAGGAGGGATGAGGTGGGGGAGGAGAGGGAGAGGAGGGTGGGATGAGATGAGGGAGGGAGAGGAGTGGTTGAGGAGGATGAGGTGGGGGAGGAGAGGGAGAGTAGGATGAGGGAGGGGGAGGGAGAAGAGGATGAGGTGAGGAGGGAGGAGAGGTTGAGGAGGATGAGGTGAGGGAGGGAGGGAGAGGGAGAGTAGGATGAGGGAGGGGGAGGGAGAGGAGGGATGAGGTGGGGGAGAGGAGAGGAGGATGAGGTGGGGGAGTGAGAGGGAGAGGAGGGTGGGATGAGGTGGGGGAGGGAGGGAGAGGTTGAGGAAGGATGGGTGGGGAGGGAGAGGAGGATAAGGTGGGGGAGGAGGGGAGGGTGGGATGAGGGGGAGGGAGAGGGATAGGAGAGAGGACGGGGTGAGAGAGAGAGAGGGGGGAGAGAGGGAGCCCGAGTCTCCAGCTCGTCATACCAAACAGGATATTGGTTGCGTTGAATATTATTACGTGGCGTTGGTCCTCAGGTGCGAGGGGCCGCTACTCAGAGGAACCAACAGCCGCTGTAATGGACCGAGAGGCGGGAGAGGAGAGGGACGGGTGTGCAACGTTGGCTGGAATGACTCCCCTGTCTGTTGACGGACTGTTTCTGACTGTTATCATGTCTAATTTTTGTCTGTGAATTGTTATACTACACTGGGACTTGTTAAGATAGGGATGGGGGAGGGGTAGCCTAAGTTATCTCACCGTTTAAGATGTAATTTTTGTCTCAGTAAAAGTGTCAAAGTAAAAAAAAAAGACTGATAAGGGGGAAGGGGAATGGGTAAGAGGAGAGGAGATGGGAAAGGGGGGAAAGAATAAGGGGAGGGAATTGGATGGGGGAGGGGGAGGAAAACAAGGGGAGTAGGGGTGAGCTTGGAAAGGGGAAGGTCTAAGGGGATGGATAGGAGATAGGGGAAGGGGAAGGGGGGGGGGGAGGAGAAAGAAGAAAAAAGGGTACGGGAAAAGGGAACTGGAAAGAGGAAGGAAATAGGAGAGGGGAAAGGGAAAGGGGGGAAGGAAAGGAAAAGAGAGGAAGGAAAGAGGGAATGAAAAAGGAGAAGCGAAATAAGGTGAAAGAGGAGTAATAGTAACAAGTCAATTAAATAAAGATTCCTATTAACTCCATCTTCCATTTCATTTCTTCTCTCTTCTTTCGAATAGTAAACATTAGCCATCTTAGTTTCTTCATTTTCCTTTCTTTCGATATCTTGCGATGCGCCTTTGTAGTCCTCTGGCACGGAAGCTCGTAAATAAGAGAGATACACATAGAAAGAATAGATAACCTGATGATTAAAGATTTGGGAAGGCCAAAGGAATGGGTTAAGGGGAGGGAGGGAGGGAGAGGGGGGTGGAAGGGGGGGCGGGAGGGAAGGAGGGGGATGGGGTGGAGAAGGGGAGGGGGAGGGGGTTAGATCCAGGAGTTTGCCATAAGTCAAGAAGAGTGGGCGGCGGGCGGGACCGTGTATGGGCGAGGGTACGGCAACCGGCGGCGAGGAATAGATCTCTGTGCCGCCATACTTGTTCCAATAAGCAGACCTTGTTATCGCCGAGCTGGAGTTCTGGTTATCCGGAGAGCATCTGAAGGCGCGCGAGATGAATGGGCGGCGGCGTTAATGGGCATTCCTCGCGGGCGGACGTCGCGCGTCATCGGGCATGACTCTTTGGCGGAGTTGATCGCTTGATGAAGGAATGGAGCGGGATGATGACCTGAGGTCTCGGAGGAGGAGGAGCGAAGGGGCGAGTGCAGCGGGGTCTTCGGGGGGGGCGAGGCGGTGGGAATTGAGATGGGGTGCGGGGCGTTGTGTGGGGTGTGTGGTGTGTGTGTGGTGTGTGTGTGTGTGTTGTGTGTGTGTGTGTGTGTGTGTGTGTGTGTGTGTGTGTGTGTGTGTGTGTGTGTGTGTGTGTGTGTGTGTGTGTGTGTGTGTGTGTGTGTGTGTGTGTGTGTGTGTGTTGTGCGTTGTGTGTGTTTGTTTGTTGTTTTTGTGTGCGCGTCCGTCTGTGTGTGTGTGTGCGTGTATGTGTCTGTGTGTCTGTGTGCATGCATGTATGTATGCGTGTATGTATGTATGTTTATGTGTTGCGTACGTCTGTATGTACGCGTACTTATATGAACGCGTACATTCACGGAGCGCGTGCGTAGGCCTACCGAGATTTCGTTCGGAGACGGAACGGCGAAGAAGAAGTAAAAAGATAAAACCGAGAGGAGGCCGACGGCGAAGAACCATTGTTTTCCGCTAGGCCTACGAGGGCCGCCGGAGTGGAGTAAGAGTGAACGTGTGCTAGGAGTAATTAGTCATGGCCGGCGCGAAGGGAATGGCAATGGCGACCCGAAGACTCGCCTCGACTCTGGGACTTCGCCGTCTCGCCTCGTCTTGTCTCGGGATCTTGGAAGACGTTGTGGTTTGGGTGTGTTTAGGGGGGTTGTTGGTTGGTTGTCTTTGGGGAGTTGTGAGATCTTGTAATTTCTGATCACTTCTGGTATCTTGCTTTTGTTTATTGCTTCTGTTGTTATTGTTATTATTATTATTATTATTGTTATTATCATTATTATTAATATTATTATCATTATCATTACTACTACTACTACTACTACTGCAATTATTATTATTATTATTGGTTATTATTATTATTATTATTATTATTATTATTATTATTATTATTATTATTATTATTATTGGATTTATTTAGTGTATTTATCGGAGTAAAGTTTAATTTTGATTGTGCTGTGATTAATATGCAATCCTACAACCAATTTTTTTCTCTCTCTTTTTTCAAGATGTTTTATACGCCTTAATGTATTTAATACCCATCGTATCTAACAAGAAAAAAAACACTTTGATTAAAACTATTTCTTTATTAAAACTACTTATTTATTCAGCTCGCCAAGCTAATACTTGTCAGAGGGTTGCCAGTGATGATGCATGCGCTTGTGATCACGCGCGTGCCGGTCGCTTGCTTTGCTTGCTTGCTTTGCTTGCTTTGCTTTCTCCGCTTGCTTGCTTGCTTGCTTGCTTTGCTTGCGTTCTGCTTGCTTGCTTGCTTTGCTTTGCTTTCTCCGCTTGCTTGCTTGCTTGCTTTTGCTTTCTCCTGCTTGCTTTTGCCGCTTGCTTGCTTTGCTTTGCTTTCTGCTTGCTTGCTGCTTGCTTTTTGCTTTCTTGCTTGCTTTGCTTTCTGCTTGCTGCTTGCTTGCCTTGCTTTGCTTTCTCGCTTGCTTGCTTGCTTTGCTTTTGCTTTCTCCGCTTGCTTGCTTGCTTTGCTTTGCTTTCTCCGCTTTCTTTGCTTGCTTGCCTGCTTGCTTTGCTTTGCTTTCTTCTTTGCTGCTTGCTTTGCTTGCTTTGCTTTCTCCCTTGCTTGCTTGCTTTGCTTTTGCTTTCTGCTTTGCTTGCTTGCTTGCTTTGCTTTCTCCGCTTGCTTGCTTGCTTTGCTTTGCTTTCTCCGCTTGCTTGCTTCTTTGCTTTGCCTTGCTTTGCTTTGCTTTGCTTGCCGCTTTGCTTTCTCCGCTTGCTTGCTTGCTTTGCTCTTGCTGCTTGCTTTCTTGCTTTGCTGCTTGCTTGCTTGCTTTGCTTTCTCCGCTTGCTTGCTTGCTTGCTTTGCTTTCTCCGCTTGCTTGCTTGCTTGCTTTGCTCTTGCTTCTCCGCTTGCTGCTGCCGCTTTTTTGCTTTGCTTGCTTGCTTGCTTTGCTTTCTCCGCTTGCTTGCTTGCTTTGCTTTCTCCGCTTGCTTGCTTTGCTTTCTCCGCTTGCTTGCTTTGCCTGCTTCTCCGCTTGCTTGCTTTGCTTTCTCCGCTTGCTTTGCTTGCTTGCTTTGCTTTTTCTTGCTTGCTGCTTGCTTGCTCTCCGCTTGTTGCTTTGCTTGTTGCTTTCGCCGCTTGCTTTGCTTGTTTGCTTTGCTTCGCCGCTTGCTTGCTTGCTTGCTTTGCTTGCTTGCTCTGTTTTGCTTTCTCCGCTTCTTGCTTGCTTTGCTTTCTCCGC